AGCCTATTAACAGTACAATAAACGGTAATATCCCTCCTTTCTCCAATAATATAATTAGACCCTCCTCCTTTTTACCGGCCCTAATTCTTTACCATTCCCTCAAAATATTTGTTCAGCCTTTTCTTGATTTTGTTTAAATTTTTTATTTTACTCACCAAATTGTGTTCGAATCTTGGCTTAATAAGCTCTCTATTATGTCTCTCAAAGCAAGAGTCGATTCATGTCGGTGTGGTCATGAATGTCAATTGAAAACTTCATGGACTCCATCTAATCCTGGAAGGAGGTTCTATGGATGCAAAATTGAAAAGGTAAGTGATAGTTAACTACAATTAATTAAATATTTGTCCTATTATTTTTGGGCTAATTTTAGTTTGAATGATTTTTTTTGAAGGACAAAGGTGGATGTAATTATTTTAAGTGGGTTGACGACGAGTTTCCTAGCCAAGCGAATATGGTTATTTGTGGTTTACTGAACAGAGTCAAAGCTTTTGAAGAAGAAAGGGCTCGAGCAAGAACAAGGAGGAAGAAATTGGCTTCTATTATAGTAACGATGCTAATTATTTGGGTTTGCTACTGTGTCATTAGTCATTGAAGTTGCTGTAATTTTGTTGGTGGTTGAAGTATTTTGTGGGCAGTTTGTAGTGGTGGTAGATATGTTTTGGGTGTATCTAGTTTGTTTGGATGTAATTGTGGCCTGTGGCCTTACTTCAATGAAATGAAACAACTTCTGCAGTTTAATGTGTATTGGAAAATTTTTATGCAATTTGTTATGCCTAGGTGAAAAAGTTTCTGCAGTTTTTATGTATTGGTTCAATTTTTCTGTAGTTTGATGTTACCAACTGAATGCATACAAAACTGAATGCATTTGTTTAAACTGAATGTAATTTTTCTGCAGTTTGATGTTACTAGCTAAAGTGTTTAAACAGAGGAATTTAAATTGCATTAAATAGAATGCTACCAACGTATTTAATTGCATTCCAGCTAAAGTGTTTTCAACAATTCCAAACAACTAGCAAAATACATGAACTGGCCCAAAAAGACAAAATAATCAATCCAAGTTTGGATACTTAGCAAAATACATGAACTGAAATCCAAAATAGCACAATCCTAACACAACTATGGCGCTGGAGTGGCTGGACTTGCAACTGAAGAGGTAGTTGCTGAAGTTCCAATTTGTCTTCTCTTATCTGCACTTAGTTGTTGTAGCTGAGAAGTAGTTATAACATTTCTGCCTTTAAACTTAAGGCCAGGAGGTTTAAATCCAAGATCGATATTGACTGCACTGGTATCCTTTACAACCTTGGTCCCATATGATACAATTCTTTCACCCGAACTACCTGGCTAAAATTGACATAAAAGGCACATAGATCAGTTTTAACAAATGGTAGTAATAACAAAATGAAGTTGTGAATAGACAGTCCTTACATTAATGATAGTCATTCCAGTTGTAGGGTTTGTGTAACATCCAAAACCAACATTTCTTGACCTCTTATGTCCATCAGATGGTGTTGTAGATTTAGCGCATCTTCCTCTTGTTCTTTTAACCCCAACAGTAAATTTTCTAGGAGCAGTTGGTGGAGGTGCATTTGGAAATGCACCCCTGCCAAAACTAGTGTTGTTTCCCCTTCCTCTACCACTGGTTGTGCTTGTATTAGCACTCTTTCCCCTTCCTCTTCCACTGCCCCTATTAGTTGCTGTAGATTCTTCAGTTGCTTGACTTCCTTGGCTTTGTTGAGTTGCTTGAATAGACTCTCCCATTCCACCCTAATAATTTCAGAAAGTACATATATAAGTTGGCATTTTAAGTGAATAAAAAGGTAAAAAATAATACAACATACCCTTGATTGGCATGTAGACTTGTTATGGCCTCCTTGATGACATTTTGAACATGTCATTTTAACTCTTCACTTAGAGAGCTTGCCATACTTCTTTTTATTAGGCTCATTCTTTGCCTTTCTTCTTTCTTTTGGGGCCTGTCTGGCATTGACTTTGGTGCAGGAGGCTCAATTACCATGTTATTACTGTCAGGCCACATCTTCATATTGAGGATTGATTCAAGAAAATATTGGTATGTCTTGAGAAATGTCTCCTTTCTATACTAGTGATCCACATAATTGCATGATTTTTCTTCTTGGTGATAGATTGCACATATTACATGCGCAAAAGGGATCCCTCTTAACTGCCAGGATCTACAAGTACATGTTCTTCTCCTCAAGTTCACTGTGTATCTGTATTCATACTCATCAACCTCAAACCCATCAGTTCCAAACCACAAAACTTTGCATTTTCTAGACAACTCCTTATTTTCTTCTAGAATCACTCTTGCCACAGGAGAAATGTCTGTAATCCAAGTCTCTGCAAACAGTATCATATCAACATGTCTCCTAACTACTTTATATCTAATGTCCTCTAACATGGTAATAATAGACTTGTGCCTAGGTGCTAATATCCAAGAATTAAAGGTCTCACACATATTATTTTCTACAATATCACATTTGGAGTGTTCAAGGAAAAAAGCTCACCAATACTCTTTGTTATACTTCAATAAGCTTTCACATATACCTTTTCCAAGCTTTCCCAAAGTAGCCAGTTCTTCTTTCAACTTCACCTCAAAACTAGCCTTAGAACACCTCTAGAATTGCTTTCTCATCTCCTCACCTCTCCAAGTTTTTGACAAGTTAGACCATATATGCCTAGCACACATTCGATGCTCACATTCTCAAATATCATACCAAGTTCAAAAATAGCCACAACACAATCTGGATCATATCTTAACTTTGTACTCTTCCTTCTACTTGGCAAATCAACACCAATTTCATCTTCCACATCTAGCTCATCATCAGAATCATATGTTGAATATACAAATGTAACTCGTCTCCATTTTCAAGGTTAGACACAATATTCAATAATTGTGCATCACTATCAACATAGACAAAATTCTTAGTTTTCGGGTCTTGGTAATAGAAGCCACCCACTGTGCCATATCCCATTTTTTTTAGTGTAATATTATAGTTCTGGAACAGAAAAATTGTCTTTATCAATATTAGCTATTAACACCTCCTGTTCCCCTACATATTTCAAGTCATGGTCAAGAGTAAAATTACCACCATGGTGAAAATTAACAACAATAAAGTCTGACATCACTATTTAATATTCCTCAATTTCTTTAAAAAAACCCTAATTGTGGTCCCAAATCAGTCCTAACTCCCACAGAAGCCCACCACTAAAATGACTACAATACAAACACTAAAAGACTTACCCTTTCAGCACTTCAATTTGGAAATCAAGCAGTACTTCAACAAGTCAACACCGACAATATACTGTTGATCGTTCTTCAAGCACATATTTGGACAAAATCAAACAAATCGAACTGATATTTACCTATGGAACTAATTACCACTCAATATCAAACGAAAACGAAGGAAAATCAATGGACATGCATCGCTTTGGGCGGATTTTACTGGAATCGAATTTGGGACTGAGAGCTTTTTTTGGTCGTTTGTTGTTGTAGGAATGTGTAGAGAGGGTTATAATTAGGAATAAGGTAAATAAGTTTGGTTTTAGCTGGTAAAATAATCTATTTGTCATTGTAAAAAATGTGTCAATTTTTAATTGGTTAGATTATCCATGCTAGAAGCGCGTAATCAAACGCGTCAAAAATTTTTACAAGCTCAGGTTGGACGTGTTAAACTGGTGTAGTAAAAGTATAGTAAAAGTGTTTCGGTGGAAAATGGCTTAGTTGAGGTGTTCAAGTGAACTTTCTTTGATAGTTTAAGTGTCTGTCTATGTATTCTGCCATTTTAATTTAAGGGATTTTTAACCTATGAAAGAATGGGAGAGTAGTTAAGGCTTGGAAAAACACATATTCGTTGCTATTTCCACCAATAAATGATTCAATACACAAGTTTGGGTTGAAAGTTGGTTGTAATATTTTTTAGTTCCTATTCTTTTACGATGATATTGTTCTTGCTATTTGTGGAGTAGTTTTACCTTAGGGTTTTGATAGACATGATGTTTTAAGTGTTATGGATTTGACTCTTGTTTAATTTTTTGAATTTGTTGATAGAGTTTTTATATGAATTGCAAAGTTGTTTACTATATTATTTAATCAAATGTCACGACCCAAAATTCCACTGAGTCATGATGATACTTAACCCAATCCGCTAGGTAAGTCCAACAGTAGAAGTCAATATTATGATAAGAAACTAACAAAGATAGTGAATGAAATATCCAAAAGAGTTTAATACAATTATCCTAATGACTGGTAGTATAAGTCAAGAGAGACTATGAATAAGAGTACAACTTCAGTTTTAGGAAAAATACATCATGTGTTTGAAATTTACATCAATAGAGTTATAACTTCTAAACTGCCACGATCAAATTGTAGCTTGAATCGGGACTGCTAGTACGTCTTTAATGCTAGACTCTCGAACTCCGAAGCCGCTCTTTTCCAAATGCAAGGTGCAGAAGTGTAGTAGAAGTACAACCGATCCCATGTACTTAGTAAGTATCTTGACTAAGCTCGATGAAGTAATGAAGAGATTTTTTAGTCAAAGATACTCACTAATATAACCCGTTCAGTTAATATAACCGACGGGTAGGGGAGTAAGAGGGCTAAGGGAGCTACCAGGCTGAGAGTGAGGTTTTGAAACATAGGAACTTTGACTGGAAATTATGTAAAGTTAGCTAAGCTTTTCGAGAAAAGGAAGATTAATATAGCTTGTGTACAGTAGATTAGATGGGTAGGAGATAAGGCGCGAGATATGGACGGGTTCAAACTATGGTATTCTTGAAGGGTGGAGGGGGGCACGAACGGGGTAAGTATCTTGGTTGATAAGGACCTTCGTGAAGAAGTGGTGGAGGTTAGGAGGGTGAAAGATAGGCTGATGACTATTAAGCTAGTTGTTGGAGGTTTTACTTTGAACATAATCAGTGCGTACGCACCCCAAACAGGCTTGGATGATGAAATCAAAAGGCATTTCTAGGAGGGTTTGGATGAGATGGTGCATGGTATTCCGCATACCAAAAAGATTTTCATAGGAGGAGATTTCAATGGCCACATTGGCGCAACATTTGGGGGGTATGATGATGTGCATGGTGGCTTTGGTTTTGGAGATAGAAACGGAGGAGGAACTTATTTGCTGGACTTTTCTAGAATGTTTGATTTGGTGATAGCAAACTCGAGTTTCCCGAAGAATATGGAGCACTTGGTCACCTTTCGAAGTTCGGTGGCCGAGACTCAAATTGATTATCTACTTTATAGAAAGTCCGATAGAGGTCTTTGCACAGATTGCAAGGTCATCCCGAGTGATAACCTCTCGTCCTTTTATAGGCTCCTAGTCATGGACCTTGAGATCACGGGGAAGATGGCGGTGTATAGCCAATATAGCAGTGAAGAGCCTTAACAGAAGATAAAGAGTAGGAGTTGGGGGGTTAAGTTGCTGGCTATGGGGGCTTGGAAGAGTACTGGATAAGCAAGCTCTATGTGGACCACGACTGCACATTACATTAGGAAAGCCTCTAGAGAGGTATTAGGGATCTCAAAGGGTTACTCTGGTAGTCATAAGGGAGACTGGTGGTGGAATGTAGAGGTGCAAGGAAAAGTGGAAACCAAGAAAGCGGCGTATTTGAAACTAGTGGAAAATGTAAACGAGGAGGAGAAAAGGCCGAAGAAGGAGCAGTATAAGTTGGCTAAGAAGTAAGTGAAGCTAGCAGTTACGGCGGCCAAAACTGCAGCTTTTGGTCGTTTGTATGAGGAATTGGAGGGTCGAAGTGGAGTAAAAAGTTGTTCAGGTTAGCCAAGGTGAGAGAAAGGAAGGCTCATGACTTGGGCCAAGTGAAGTGCATCAAGGACGAAGAAGGTAGAGTTTTGTTGGATGCGGGGCTTATCTGTCGGAGATGCTAGATATACTTCCAATTTCACTTAAATGAGAAGGGTGACAAGAGCATTGTACTAGATGATTTGGAACTCTATAGGAGTCATTGTGACTTTGGGTATTGTAGGAGGATTAGAGTTGAGGAGGTTGAGGGGGCTATGTGTAAGATGAGCAGGGGCAAAGTGATCGGGCCGGATGAAATCCTGGTAGGGTTTTGGAAGAGTGAGGGCAAGACATACTTGGAGTGGCTCACTTGGTTATTTAATGTTATTTTTAAAACGAAGAAGATGCCAGAAGAGTTGAGGTAGAGCACGATGATTCCTGTATACAAGAACAAGGGTGATATCCAAAATTGCAAGTTGCTTAGCCATACTATGGAAGTCTGGGAGAGGTTGGTAGAGCTAATCGTGAGGATGAGTGTGTCTATTTACGAGATTCAGTTAGGGTTTATGCCGGGACGTTCGACTATAGAAGCCATTTGCCTTGTTAGGAGATTGATGGAGCAGTATAGGGAGAGGAATATGGACTTGCATATAGTGTTCATCGAATTAGAAAAGGCATATGATAAAGCCCCGAGGGAGGTTTTGTGGAGAGGTCTGGAAGTTGGAGGTGTATCTGTTGCCTACATTAGGGTGATTAAGGACATGTATAATGGAGTGAGACCCGAGTGAGGATAATGGAAGGGGACTCAAACCATTTCCCGATCATGATGGGGTTGCATCAGGGGTTGACAGTCATCCTTCTTTTGTTTGCCTTGGTGATGGACGTACTGATATGCCACATCCAAGGGGAGGTGACATGTCTCATGCTATTTGCAGATGATATTATATTGATTGACGAGACACGAGGCGGTGTGAACACGAGGTTAGAGATTTGGAGGCAGACCCTGGAGTCTAAAGGTTTCAAGTTGAGCAGGACCAAGACAGAATACTTGGAGTGTAAGTTCAGTGGTGAGACTCAAGGAGGGGAAGAGGAGGTGAGACTGGACTCACAAGTCATCCCTAGGAGAGGAAGTTTTAAGTACCTTGGATCTATTATACATAGGGATAGGGAGATTGATGAAGATGTCACACATCGTATTAAGGCATGCATGAAATGGAGACTCACTTCTGGTGTTTTGTCTGACAAGAAGGTTCTACCAAAACTTAAAGGTAAGATCTATAGAGTGGTGGTCAGATTGACTATGTTGTATGGGGCTAAGTGTCGATCAGTCAAGATCGCTCATGTCTAGAAGATGAAGGTAGTAGATTTCAGGATGTTGAGATGAATATGCGGGCACACTAGGTTATATAGGATTAGGAATAAGGTTATTCACGACAAGGTAGGTGTGGCCCCTATTGAGGACAAGTGCAGAAAGCGAGGCTCATGTGGTTTAGACATGTGAGAAAGAGGAGCACAGACGCCCCAATGAGGAGGTGTGAGAGGTTGACATTGGAGGGCCTACGAAGAGGTAGAGGTAGGTCAATGAAGAAGTGGGGAGAGGTGATTAGGCAAGACATGGTGCAGCTTCAACTGACCGAGGACATGACCCTTGATAGGAATGTATGGAGGTCGAGGATTAGGGTAGTAGGGTAGGCGTTCTAGATTGTTCATACTAGTAGTATTGGCACGCATTCTCGCATTCTGTTTGTAGTAGGTTTTTATGACTAACCGTTACTTTCTTTCATTGTTCGTCATCTTACGATCTAGTTGTTTTCATTATGCTTTTATATGGCTTTTTGGTGTTGTCCCTTCTTGTTTATATTTTTATTAATGTGGTGCTTATGTTTTCATAAGCCAAGGGTCTATTGGAAACAACCTCTTTATCCTCAAAAGGTAAGGGTAAAGTCTGCGTACACACTACCCTCCCTAGACCCCACAGTGTGAGATAATACTGTGTATGTTGTTCTTGTAGTTAAACTTGCAATAGAAATAACATTAGAATAATCAAGTAAATTTCAAGAACACCGTATAAGAAGTAGCAAATTATTAACTAAAATAAACGAAGATCGGTTTTCCAACAACCAATCCCCTTATAACAACTCAAGTCCCGAGGTTAAAGCACAAATCACTCAAACAACATAGTAACCCACGAATTTTCATAATATGAGGAATGTGTTCAATATATCAAATCAAATGGCATGAAAATACCTTTCGTGCATTTACGTCATCCTCACCAAATATATGCATGTATGTCAAATTAATTGGCACAACAACACCTGTAATAACCTGACCGATATTTTAAGCTCTAGCATGCCGTTCCATAGTTTGAGGCCTTGCGTAGCTTCAGTTCATGTATTATGACTTGCACGTATGGTTTGTTTCGATTTTTTGAGAAGTTCGGAGTTGATTTGGAAGAATAATTCTCAATTCGGAAGCTATAAGTTGAAATAATTGACCAATGTTTGACTTTGAGTAAACGACATCAGATTAGAGTCTTGGCAGTTTCGTTAGGTCCGGATGGTTATTTTGGAATTAGGCGTATGTCCGTATTTGGATTTGGAGGTCCGTAGTTTAATTTGATGCTTTTTGGTAAAAGTTGGATGATTGAAGGTTTGGAAGGTTGATAGGTTTAACCGAGGGTTAACTTTATTGATATCGGGTCCAGATTATAGTACCATGAATTAGTATAGGTCCATTGTGTCATTTGGGACTTGTATGAAAAATTTGAGGTCATTCTGGATTGATTTGGCATAGTTCAACATAAGTTTTAGAAGTTTAAAAATTCATTAGTTCATTAAGCTTGAATTGATGTGCGATTCATAATTCTAATGTTGTTTGGTGATATTTGAGGCCTCGAGTAGGTTTGTGTTATATTTTGTGACTGGTTGGTGTGATTGGACGGGGTCCCGGGGGCCTCAAGTGTGTTTCAGATGGGTTTGGGTTGTGTCGCGCTCTTATTTGATTTTTCAGCATCGTTTCTTTGGGTATAAAGGGTACCATATTGAGCAAACTACCTTTGATTTGTGATTACATTGAACCATTATATCCATATTGTAAGTACGGAACCATAGAAGTAAGAATCATCAAATTTCGAGGTCGTATGAGAGAGTTATGCACATTTCTGTGTCGGAAAAGATTGCTAGTTTTTGGTGCGAACTTTTGTTCTTCGCGAACGCGAGAGTAGTCCCATGAATGCGAAGAAAAGAAATTTTGGGTTGACCGGTCAACGCAAAAAGTTTCTCTTCGCATACGCAAAGGTGTCCCGCGAAGGCGGAGAACAAAAATCACCTGGGCAATGTTTTAAATGGGTAGACCGAACATTTTATTATTTTGAGCATATCTTGAGTTTTAGAGTTCCGTTTGAGGTGATGTTTGTAGCGTTGTTCTCGTACCAACAAGGGGGTAAATATATAACCTTTATTTTTATGTTTTACCATGATTAATTCTATTGGTTATTATTTTTATCCGTGTTTGGATTATAGAAATTGGGATTTTGAGTCCTAAAGTTGAGAAATGATAAATCCTTGATTTGAGGGTAAATTCATGGACGAAATTGGATGCTTTTCTGGATATAGACTATATAAGTTATGTAAAATATCTATTTTTGATAATTTTTGAATCGGGATACGTGGGTCTGGGGGTTGACTTTGTTGACTTTTTGAGCGAAGTTGGGAATTGGTATAAATTGTGAAATTGCGAGTATATTTTGATTGGTTTTCACGTTGTTTAATTAGTTTTAGATCGTTTGGCATTGATTTGAGGTGTTAGAGAGGCATTGGAGCCGATTATCAGATTTCAGAGTGAGGCAAGTCTCTTGTATAACGTTGTGAGGGACAAACTACACCTTATGTACTGTATTTATTACGTGCTACTTGTTATTGGAGTTACATATGTACAAGTTGACGAGAGTCCATACATAGCTAAAATAATCTTACATCCGGGTAGACTTAGGACTTTATCATGCAATATTTGTATTACTCAATTTTTTAGTTTAATTACCAAGAACTTGTAAAGGTAATTTGATTAGCGATCATGTTAGAACGAACCTCATTACCTTGAGGTGTTTGGCAGGATATTTGATCACTGGTAACAGTTATACTTACTTTATATTCCTATTCTTGTGTTGCAAACACGTGGTCACAATTTGATAAGTTTCTTCTCTTCTTGTGGATCGGGCTGGAAGCGTCAACAATATATTTGAGATACATCTATGGTTCTCGCCAGTCGACCCTCAGCAGTGTATACATTATTCTGAATGACTCGAGAGGAGGATTATTCGGTTCATGTTTAGAGGTTCGGCATATAATCCCAATGGAGGAGAGGCAATTGGACTATGGATGTTTAAGATTTGGTTGGCGGAGTAGCGAGATTGGATATTTTCAAACTTGGTGGAGATCTTGTTTGTGTTATGGTGTTGTCATTCTTGTTTGGACGCATTAAGGCTAATCAGTATAATGGTATTCATTTGTTTGCCTTTGGGGCACAGTGTTGTTAAGTAGTATCTAAAAACCGATTATTGTGGGTGATAATGTGTTGCAACTTTAGGGTCTAATGAGTGTTTCTAGTGTCGATGGCTCAAGAAAAATGATCTTAAGGAGGCTTAGAGT